AATCCGTAATGAGCAAATCAAGAAGATAATAAAAACAAATATGTAGTCTAAAGTGATTTTCATTACGGAGATGCTTGTTTATTGAAGGGAGGGTTATATAATATGGTGGTCATTTTCTTAATGTTACTTCTCGATTGTCTGCTAAATATAGAAGTATAAGATGTCATTAAAAACAATATAGCGGTAGGAACACCAACTAAATGAAACCTGTTGTTAGGATCGCTGTGCCAGATAGTAGATATTTATAGCCACCTTTTCACATTAAGTAACTGTTGCGGACACTATTCTGTATGACATCTGTTATTTCCCCGAAAAGAGGCTGAAGGTCACCTGGAGGGGTCACATGTTTTATCCACTCGCACCACTATATACAAGTCTGTCAGTCAGTCAGTAGACACTAAAATGACGTCAAATAAAGAACGCTTAACATGGGCGCTCACAGAAATGTTTTCAAGTGGGCAAAACATGTATGTAGGGGATCAGCTTTTACAGTGTAAGTCAACAGACTAAAATAATATGTGTTATGTGTGCTTAAATGCAAACACAAATTTACAGTTTCAATAAGAATTACTAAAAATATTTAGGTTAAGTACAATGTTAGGCTTACAACATAATACGTGCAAATTTTTGCAAAAAGTAAGGGGGAGCAAATACCCCTTTTGCCCCTTCCTGCGGGCGCCCAAGACGCTTAACTTTGAAATTTGTACTGTCGTGACGTCAGCAAAAGGTGTGCATGCCATGAGTCACGAGAATAATTTATGTACTCTGTAGGCTACAACACATCATGACATATAGACTTCAAAATCAAGATATAAAAATATTTGTAACTCTTAATTTTGGTTTTATTTACTTTTGAAACAGAACATTTCGGGGACCCTGCGGAAGTACGTCTAGTAGCAGATATTATTCCTTTTATAATATCGTAAAGTGTCATGGCGACACCTTCCGTCTCTAGCAAACGTTATTACAATATACTGCAATACGTAGACACAACAAAGGTGGTCCACTGCGTAATCAGATTACCGATAAAAACAATAAGTACAATAAAAATATAGATATATAACTCTTCGCTAAAATATGTATAGTTAAGATATTGAAAATATATTACTAGACCTGTAATGATTTACCAATTTGTTTTACTAGTGTTTATTGTTCAACGTTATTTTAGTGACGTTTAATCCATATGTATATATTGTTTGTTTTCAATTTCGCGCAAATATCCAAGGCTATCTGCGTTAGCCGTCTCTAATTTTGACGTTATAAACTAGAGGGAAGACAGCTAATCAACACACAACTTACCATCAACTCTTGGGCTACTCTTTACTGGGGAATAGTGGAATTGGCCGCCACATTATAGGCTGTTATATCACGAAGTTAAAAGATATGATAGCACTGTGCTAAAATAAATATGCCACACCGAGCAGCACGAAAATCTCACGTAAACACACCATAACGTTGTCTGAACTTATCTCACTTTAATTTTTTACACTTTACTGTGAATATGTAATTTTTAAGCCCACAAATAGTTTTTACGAAAGAAATGAGACCAAGGTAATGAAAACGTTCCAAATAAAAAAAAAAAAGTTTAAAATATATA